GCTCGTTCTCAGCGTATGTATATCCGTTGATCGTACCCGATTCCGATACATATCACACAGGCGCATCGCTTGAAGTTGATTAGCATGTCACATATGAGTAACCAGCTTGGAGCTCGGTCACAAGATCAGTCTTTGGGGTTTGTATCTTGCTCCTCCGCTCAATACGCTTTTCTTCTGTCTATTTCAGTGTCGAAAGTGGCCCACTCTTATCCTTCTTCCAGCAAAGTTGCTCACGACTGGAACAAGTTGGAAAAAGAAGCAGCTGAGCTGGAGGACGATGGGGACCCGTTAAACAAACTCTTTCAGAGCATTTACCGGGATGCCTCTGACGAAACTCGGCGAGCCATGATTAAGAGCTTCGTGAGTTACGGTTTTCACGAGCTGCATTTGTGTTCACGTACTTCTCTGCCCAATCTGAGCAGTTCTGGTGAACAATGTGGCTCATTTAAAATTGATTGAGTCTTGAGTTTGTCGCTGCAGCATCCGAGCCGCTTTCGAGTTCGGTGTTTTTTACTTCACCCCAAACGTTATCTCATCTGCTTAATTGGTTCACATACCTTATGAAATTGACGCCATTATTCCACTTAAAAGTCACGTTGAACCCTGCTGGTCATAGATTTCTGTGAATGGGTAACTCATTGGCCAAGTAACCGCTTTATTTCACGTTATCGCGTTACGTATGGAGCGCTAGGGCCGTATAGGCAAGGGGACATAGGAGTCTAGTGGATTCCTGGGTCTAAGGTGTCAACCACGGTACAGTGAATTTATACGGGCCTGATTGCGTTTGTCGTCATCTTTGTATGTCGACCCCATTTTGAAGCACACTTCCTCACAAATGACTTAAGGTTTTCAGCCACTTCAGATAACACTTCCGCATATCGCAATGTTAATTTTTTTCGGTACTAGCATACTGGTTGTGAAACACTGTCATTGTGTTGGGAAACTCATTCATCCATTTGTATATCAGTGTGTTCATCCGTACAAAAAACCCGACAGGATATAGGTAAATCGTGTACCCAGGCAGGTGAAATCTGCCCTGCGTCATATGTCCCAGGTGTGACGGGTAGACATCTATCAAGATAGCTTTGTTGCAAACCGTGACCTGAGAACATGGTGCCGCTAAGGCAAAGTGCACCAAAGCTCGAGCTGTAAAGTAACTGGGGAACCTTTCAACCACAAAAACTATGAGAAACGGAACTAAGCGAATGTCATTTTACTGGATGAATTCCGGTTGTTATGATTTCTTTTATATTGGTTGCTGAGTCTTAGAATATGACCATACCTACGTCATCTCACAAAAACCTGCCTACTCGTATTTACGGGGGCGAGATGTGTCAAGTGGTAGAACGCGAAATTTACTGACCGGAAGGTCTGTGGTTCAAACCCGACCTCTGCCTCTCGACTTCCCCTGTCTAGGCTTGGGCAACCTGGCAGTATCCCAAATCTCGTGCTTCCTTCGGGTAGCGTGGCGGCTAGGCACCGGAAGGGTGTTACAGCTGAGCGAATCGTATTCACATATACCAGCCATGCAAGGCTCACTTGTTCGTTGCAGAGGCATACGTTTTATTGTCCGCACTCATCCGCATTACATTTTTACCCCGTTTGTGACCAACGTCCTCAACTGTGTACGGCAAATTCTGACCAGTTTCTATAATATTTTGATTTTTCTCTTACCGGCCATCAATTTTAATCATCTTACTAGTCCGAAACTGCGAGACTGACATCAGAATTGTTACTCTTTTTGTCGTTTTTCGTCCTCTTATTACTTGTTCCGTGTGAAAAAGCATAATTTCATCGTTAAACTTTGGATAATTAGCCTTTGTCATGGTGCTGATCACAGCTGCTCTGGTCTCTCTCTCTTAATTTGGTCTGAAGCGATAAATTATGTTGGCTGCCCAGTTGTTCGGAGACCAGTCGCTCTTAATATCCGAACATCACGTCGATTGGACAGATGTGTCATGTGCGGGCTGCGGACTAAACGAAGACGTCTTGATTGGTTAGAATGTCAGTCAATGTGAATCGAGCATATATATCTCAAGGATTTTGGCGCAACCTTCAGAAGCATTATGTGATGACCCTACGAATACGGTTGTAATAACCTTCCTTTGTCTCTATAACTGGCTACGGTGCCTTTTGATATACCACAGTGGGCAGAGCAGCAAGCCAAGTGCCGAGACAGAGTGGAACCACCGTCCAGGAAGTCACAACACTAGTTTCCCGGGATTGTCTCAAACAGCATGCTCTCCAACCCTATGGTATTTCTGTTTAGTTAGACCCCTAATTTTTAACCAATGAACAACATGACTTTGGTCATGTAGATAGGTCAGTTGGCGGGGTTCTACTTGATAGTGGTTTCTTCTTCGACTAACGACTTCAGTTTCGTGGACTTTGGGGCTTTAATGAAGCAAGAGTTGTAGGGCTCCGTTTTCACTTTTCGAGTGATTCACTCACCTCAACACTTGGTTAGTCTATTCGCTGAACCAATCAGTGAGGGGTTTCATCTGTTGTTTGTACCTGTTGATGTTGTTTGATGTCTAGACGCATGTTTCGTAAAGCTTACTCAAGTTTACCTTGTTCCGTTACTCTAGACCGAATCGGGGGGTACCGTGCTGAGCACAAATTGGGATGAAGTCGGCAAAGGTAAAGTTGAAATGAAACCGCCAGATGGAATGGAATACAAAAAGTACGAACTGTGACTCTGTAACTATCCATCGTTTCTCAAACTCATTCTTTCCCAAAGAAATTATCAACTGATTTCATGTTGCCCGTTTTTCTTCCTATTTCAAACTACTTTTCTGAGGCCATCGTCTTCAAGTGTCATTCGTAAACTAGATAGCACTCTTGGTAGCGGTTTTCGTGCGTGTCTTCCGTGCAACGCGGAGGAAGCAAGAGGGCTGAGGTTGTCCAAGCCTGGAATATCACGAAACCGTAGGCAAGCGAATTCAGTTTTGTGTCGAATGACGCCGAGAAGGGACCACCTAGTGGCGTGTAACTATACGTTTCGTACTTTAAACGTTCGTCTGTTTATCCGCCCCTCTATATGTTTTTCCGCTCATACTATGTAGTTAACATACTGTAGTTTGTTCTTTGGGTGTTCGTCAACCTCTTTGACTCATGCAAGGGAAACGCCGTTAGCGAAAAAGCCGGTTGTTTGTCCGTTCAGGCTCTAGAGGCTACTTTATCGGCAAAGTATATACTAAACGAAAACGTTGGTTGTGGATGACAGTCATTAAGTCAACAGCACATCACTGCTGAGCACTCATGATTCACTACCCAGTTTATGTGTGAAAACGATAAAAGATTACAGATGTTTGCATCTATACACGCTCAGACCGTCTGGAGAGAAAGTGCCACTGGTTTTGATCAGTGGCTGTATACTCCAACAAACAGAACATAACGTGATCCGTGGAAAGCTATATGCACATAGTACCGAAACTTATCGTAGTTGTTTCCATACCCCTTTTGCAGTGGCCACCTGTGCCACTGAATGAATTGTGCAAAATAGCATTGTTCTTGACAGACGCTACACCACGCTTAGCACATGACAAGCCTCCCACAACATGCTGCACAACGGAGCACTTTTTTTCCTGAAAGTGTATCGTACAGTGTTTGACACCAAACCACAGAAGGTGTCGTTCTGAAACAATGGTTATCGCACCTCCAAAGTCATCACTTACAACTTAAAGACAAAACAGACTGCTGATGATGAGACTGGAGCCTAGTTCGTTGATTCCTTGAGAGTGACGTGGAGTGTTGTATAGCAAAAACCGCGCGTCAATTCTCCGCTTACCACAACTTTTCCGGTAGTATAGTCATCCGTATTAATTGGGTCTGCGCCAACTGACAGAGCTGGATTTGTGCACCAATTTATCATCTCCCGCCTGCAATGCTCGGCTACCAGCCCCTCCCTTCCGAAAAATCATCAGTGAACGAAACCGAGGTAGCTACAACCACCGTACGACGAGTATGCGGTTATTACAGCTGACAATGATGATGATGATGCGCGGTTTCGGTCCCCAGCTTATCCTACATGCAGGCGTTCGTGTTTCCTGAAATACTTTTATGATAGAATGATCCCGATGCCCGTTTATCATTTGGTCCACTATCAAAGCCGGTTGGGATAAACAAGAGAACTTGTTCTCACAATAGTGTATTTGTACAACGGTGAAATGAATCACTGGAGGCTAGTTTCTCGTGAAAAGTACCAGCTGAAGTAGACTGACAATCTTCAAAGGTGTCAGGTCGGCCAGAATAGCCTAGGAAAAGGATCAAATAGGTCGTTACACTGCATGGAAAACAAGTCATGGAGGGTCGCGATAATATTAGAAATTTCACATTCTTTTGAACCTGCCACATCTGCATCGTATCCGGAAGTGGATATTTTCCCAAACGATACTGGGCACGATAATATTCCATATAGGTTTTCGATGTCCAGCTTTTCACTTGCATTTGCGGGCTCATTGAGTCCACTTGGATCTACGGACAATCCTGCTATCCTCTGACAATGGGATGTGAGTCTGAATGTACTTTTAGGTCAGCAGTAGGGTAGAGCCGTCAAATGCGCTCAAGTTCAGTCTTCTCTAATAGAATAGCCCTACCCATTTTGATCCCACCACGTTAGCTGATTCCCACTGGAGAATGAGTTGTTCACATTAATATTCCAAGTCGCAGCTTCTCACACGTGGCGATCGACATCAAAGTGGATACTGGTTGCATCGCGGTCTTGTCTCCATCACCGACGTCACAGTATTTCAGTGTCACGCTTTCCTATGTTTCCATCAGAGGCAGCTAAGTTTTCGGTGTTATTAGGTTTGCATCGTTAGATAGCTGCATCAGACTTGGTTGGCACGAGTTGTACTCTGCTCTCGAAGCAAATTTACGCTTCCGCCTAAAAAGAACCGATAGACGAGTGAATCCGATGCTGGCGTTTGACAGTGTTTACTTTGACGGACAACGGTAAGTGGGATCGGCTTCTTATCATACTATGGAAGTAGGGCGTATCCACCATGACGGTGTGATACCAAGCGTTCTTCACGACTCGCTCTAAGTCATCGGCGGTTGTATCCGTGAGTAACAGAGTATAGGAGGTACCGCAATGGATATGTGAGTACAAACTTCACGCTAAGTACTCGGCCGAATATTAATTGCGGAATTCAAGACAAGCTCATTGTGGTCATGATAACACGCGACGGCCGGTGTGCTGTGACAGTGTTTCTAGTTATGACATTCACGCTTGAACGCGGGCTTGGATATTGTCAGGGTGTCCTTTTTCGGACGGGAGGACAATGAGGGTCCTCAACCAAAGACTTTTCTCAAAAGGCTGATCGCAAAACGGTAGGTGAGGGGCAATGACATACTCCTACAGCATTACGAGTTTTTAAGGAACATGTCACCCTGCATGTTCCATCCCCGTTCTCGTACTGTGATCGCTGAAAAGAAACAAAGCATTAGTAGAATGTCTAAGCCAAGCCTCCTCCTGTGTGAGTAACACTGACAGCCCACTACCGGTTTCACCCTTCTTGATATGCAGTTTCCGTCAAACTTAGGCGTTTCTTGAATCCAAATTGCACAAAATTTGACAGACAGTCATTTGCATACCTATTTGCTTTTCACGGGAGATTCACCTGAAACCCAGCTGAATTTCATTTATGCTATTCTTTAACTAAACGTGCTGCACAAAGGCCGCCTCATTTTCATTTGGTACGATATCCAAGATATCGCAGTATATTATCACAAAGGAAACTACTTATAAGCTTACTGAAAACTTCGCCAATCTAAGACCGGTTTCGTCCTTCTTCTAGTTCATCAGGTAGGCGCAGTCCCAGAGTTTCCGTCAACCGTGTACTCTACTTGAACCCAAACTGCCCAAAATTCGGTAGATTCAGCTGGGTTTCAGGTCTGTTTCCCCCTTGAAAATCAAATTGGTGTGCAAATGAGTGTATTTGTTTCATCCCTGTTAGTAAGCTATAGTAATGCACATCTCCCGAATCCACAAGCTCATTTGAATCCGCGATCTTGCGAATTCTTGTTGTACACCGTTCGAATCCATAAGGACTGGACCAACATAGTAGTTCACTTTGTTTGGAAGTCATTCGGAAGCTAAACCTTGTGTCCGTTAGCATAATCACTCATTTATCCAAACAGCTGCCTCAAAACCAACAACTTGTGTCCATATGAGCAACACAACTTCATTCTGACCTGTCAGTTCCAATCGTTTCTGGAAAACTTTGATGAGGTAACTCCATTAGAATACTCTATGTTAACAACTATCGGATTAGTTATTTATGAGCGTCCTTCTTCCTTGTCCGTCTCAGTATAAAGCGAATCATCCTCCGGGCAGATGGATCCAGCACACAAATATCTGTCTGTCTTACAGACACTTTGATGTCAGTAACTAACGGGGTTATGTTCCTGCTTCCTACACACGAAGCGTGGTTTATAGCCAACGCTTCTGGACTCTCCTAGTCTATAATGACTATATCTACTAAATACGCACAATCTCTAGGGTTATCCTATTTTGATGTGATTAAATTCCTGATAGTGACACGTGAATTTACGTGGAACACTCACCTCGACGCCTGCTGCGTTGTTAACCAGCAGTAGGTTCGCTCGCCTGTAGGAGAAAATCGCCACGGCCAACACTAAAAATAGTGAAGGGACAGGTTTGTCGAATCGTGATTAAACTTTTGTCTGTGTTAGTTATCATCCTTGTAGTGTGAAATAACTGATATGAAACCATGGCGGTAAGAATTGCAATCTTGATGCGTCCAATCCAAACTCTATCAAAAGAGGAAGGGATGTGTAAATGTCGAATTAGATATTTTGGCCACGATGCTTCGGGGTATCTGCAATCTCAGCACCGCCGACTGTTTGGAGGTAGTGGTCTCTCTCATGTCGACTCATTTTCCCGTCGGTGAAAGTCGCAACGAAGAAGTATGACTGTGTTTCGCTTTGCATCTATCGTTTTGCTCTATTGTTCTCACTCGAGCCTAAGTGTGTGCCTCGTTAGCATGTCAATAGGGTACACAGTACCCCCGGGGTTGGTACCATCTGTCGACTGGGCCGTTCTGACTTTCTTTCGAAGCCCAGAATTCAATAGAACACATTGAGTGACGAGCGGCTTTTCAGTTAGGACATCTACTTTATCACGGAACCATGTCGGTTTGACGCTCATGCAAGCCGTGTTCATAACTGTTTTAGCAACCTGTGTGGCTGTGGCGCAAGCCGTATGCATAACTGTTTTAGCAATCTGTGTGGCTGTGACCCCTAATGCAACTGTTCTGTACTACGATTTCTGCACAGTCTACCTGCAACCTTTGGGAGGGTTGAACTACCAGAAGCAGTTAGGGCACCTGGTTTATTCGTACCACATACGTTCTGACAGCCGACATATCGAGCTGGGGTCCGAAAGATAATGCTCGTTTATCGGAGGCTTACCTGTATCCAGTTCCAGTGAATAATTGAAAACTGGTATTCAAGAATTTTTGCCCATATCAACTTCATCTTTACTTGTTTCTCCCAGTTCTTCAACTTCCAGACGTTACGCTCACCTACTTTACTTTTCAGTATCTTCATTTTCTGAAAGATCAACTTGCAGGAGCGTTTGTCATACAGAAAAACAGGGCGATGTTAGGTTTTATCGTATGACAACCACAAGGTAGCCATATTAGGTTAAACTGGCCGGTTTTTCTGATTCGGCAGCGTACAGCGCTGTTTACTTCTCGCTGAAGAACAAGGACTCCCAAGCATAGATGGATATGATCGTGTTCCGAATTTTTTGTACTGCGAGTGATAAGTTGCCTTTCTAGAGCGATCCTTTGAAGAGAACAACGGTTTCGCCACCCAAATCGAAAACAATTACCCTGGATATGCCATACCGTAACAAAAACCACAGATTTGATGATGCAGATAGAAATAGACAGATATCCTATTGAAAACCGTCAATTTTTAATGCCAGTCAACGCCTTCAACCAAAAGTAGAACGCACTTTCTAAGTAAAATCCCTTCTAAAAGACTCGAAGTGTCTGGTAAACCAAGTAATTCAACTAAACTTGAGCGTATTAAATACATTTTTACGCAAACGTTCATGCGACCGCCTTCAAAGCGTTTATATTAGGTTTGGGAAATTGATTTTTTCTTCAATATCACCGTGAAGATGTAAGTAGAAATGAAACAAACTCATCTGTCTACTTTCAAATGATACGAGCTCTGAAGCTCAAACAGATTTCAATAGTATTTAGAATATCCTCTGACCAATGGGTGGGGTGAGTCGCATAGACTAGGACCGCAGGCGATCACTCTGACTTGGAATTTACTATTATCCAAGCAAAAGTGCACACCGGAAGCATTGCACATGTGCATGTTCCTTGAATAAACGGCTTTGTTTCGCCAGGGTCCAGTGCAAATATCGTCAACAAAGTCATTGTAATCTGTTTTCCAAGCATATAATTTCTAACATCAGGCGAATCTGGAATGTGTTATTCCGGGCTCCTTCCTGCATCCTCCTGGAAGAGCTCTTAACAGGAGAACGTGGTTGAGCTCGTCTCTTACGAAACGAGCACTGTTATAAGTGGTTGCTTTAGAAGACATGTGTTACGATGCGATGCTTGCATCAAAAAGACGGTCGCTCGCGACTTTTATCGAGGGCAAAATAAGGTGATTTTTCCAACAATTATTTCCCGTCTTGCCCCAACAACTATTGGTTTATAAAAGCTTTGCAGATTGAGTGTATCTGAGATCTGACAGGGCTGTTGTACTTGGTAAAATCATCAAGGGAAACATCAAGAACCATCTATGGACGCCGCACAATAGAACTATCAGAGCAGTCGAAATTGGTCAAATTACGGAAGGCCTCAAACCTCATAGAGATTAAGAGTACAAGTACCCACTTTCTTGCGTGTGTTGTGAAGGGATAATGCGACCATAATGGAAAGAGTGCCGAATAGATAGAGAACAAATATCTTCACAGGTGAAGAGTTCTATTGAGCCATTATCCGGTTTTCTTCATCCTTATCCTATGATGCTTGACAGTGGACTCTGCTATGCCATGACTACATAAGGAAGTCACAGGAGATCTCTAATCTTTACTCTCGCCTCTTTTTAACTTTGCATAGCCACGATGTTAGAACCGAACCCGACCTCTGCTTCTCGACTTCCCCTGTCTAGGCTTGGGCAACCTGGCAGTATCCCGGCCCTCGTACTTCCATCGGGTGGCATGGCAGCTAAGCACCGAAAGCGTGTTACAGCTGAACGATTTTAGCAACGGTCATGACGCTTACCTGCTAGTATTTCCAAAGAATCGAAGCCCAGTATGCGGTCCCAGAGAAGTAAAACTTGGTCAGGTGTCAAAAATCCACTGAAGGCGCGCATCAGCCACTTGAAGACGAACCGTACGCTGAGAGAGCATTTTGGGGGTGATTGGGTGTGAATAAGGGCAAATATAAATGAGAAATTTGTGACACGGAGATATTTGCTAGCAGCTTGGAGCCTACTGTTCAAATCAGGTTAGTTGCTCGACTTGTGACATAATAGTTAGGCAGGTCGGATGAAAAAGCCACCGGGAAGCAGTTATGCACTTGCTATGGATCTTATTCACGACCAGTATTGCTCTACCGTATCTGATTTCGTGTCTACGGTTATTCACTCGCTTATTTGGCCACTGGCGTTGCTGTAAGTGACGGAAATGATAACCGAAAAAAAGACAGTACTCGTGTCTAATAGTTATACCAGGCGAGCGTATCAGTGCAACGTAATCTTTCTACAGCAATCGACTTGTTCTAAATCGATGGTCTTCTCTAAACAGAATTACACTTGTGGCAATTGGTATGTGGCACGTTACAGCACCAATATCAAACAAGTTTGCATTTAGTGGGTGTTGTCTCTGTCACAGATTTCGAAAACGTGCGGCGAGATCCCCTTTCGGCCATTTCGTATTACCCTCAGTAATGGCCTCTAGATACCTACCCCCTCCCCCAAATCATCGGTGAGTGAAACTGCGGTAGCTACAACCATTGTACTGATTGTTGTAAGCTGTCGACTTGTTCTAAATCGATGGTCTTCTCTGAGCAGAATTACACTTGTGGCACTTGGTATGTGGCGCGTTACAGCACGGATATCAAACAAGTTTGCATTTGGTGAGTGTTGCCTATGTCACAGATTTCTAAAACGTGCAGCGAGATCTGCTTTCGCCCATTTCGTGTTACCCTCAGTAATGGCCTCTAGATACCTACCCCCGCCCCCAAATCATCGGTGACGAAACTGCGGCAGCTACAACCACTGTACGACGAGTACGCGGTTATTACGGCTGACAATGATGATGATGATGACACCCACGTGTGTCAAACGCTGGTAAGTAGTTCATCGTATGAATTCTTGTCCCAGTGTCTTTCTGTACAACTTCTATTCACCTTTCCCTTCTGTCCATTTCGGGGTGCTCTGCAACCAACTTCCTAACACTGACGTTGCAGCACACACAAAAGACGACAATGAACACTGAGAGGGTCTTGTCGTCGCATATACGCGGTCGAAAACTTGAACTCAAACTTTCATCATGCCTCCTTCAATCACCCTTTCTAAATGTGCACAAAATGCTGGAACTCACGGCTGTATTCCATGCGAACGCAGATGGAAAAATACTTGCGGTTCCCTTGCTTGCAACAGCCTTTCAAATAGCACACATAGACCCAGAATCCCCTAAAGTACAGTGTTGTGTTAGATCGAGGAGTTGACCGATTGGGGGAAACTCACACTGCTGTCGTTTGAGATCGCGTGAAGTTTATGAAAGTACCGTATATACAACTGTCGAAATATCACATAAAGCGTGACAGGATCGTCGTACAGGTAGCATAGTGGAAGGACTGAAAAGAAAAACAAAAAGGTAGTAAATTAGGAACGTTAAGTAGTGAGTTGGTTCAGTGGGGTAACAGTGAAATTTAGTGACATGAACTGAGTTTCCACACTCAATGACCACGCATCTGGGTTTACTGGTAATGGGTTTCATACTTCTCTGTCAAATCAGTGTATGGCCTCCGCTGGCTCGTTTCCACCCTTCACGTGGTTATGCTAGGTCAACTGGCAAACGGAGCACGTGACGAAGCCAGTGCAACTTATGGAGTGTGATCAGTTCATCTATCGTGGGCGGGTTATCTCTCCCGACCACCATGCTAAGTACTTCAGCATTACTGCTCTAGTGTTCCCTCTAGATCCGAAAAATCAAATGTGAAACACTGAGAGTCTCATGACGATCTCGGCTCACAGTGGCCAGGTTTCTAATCATTATAACAACACGGAGCGCGCCGCATCATCGTAAGCTCTGTCCTTGCTGGATGAACTACGCCACCCACGCCACAGGTGATGCAGTTTCACGAAAGCTGCTAGAATTCATGGTCAAAAAGACTTTGGTGCTTATCTTTCGCGCTGAGGTTCCATCCAGCTCGTTTGAAGCTTGTGACAAATCCTTTTACAACGTAGCCAAGACCGTAACTTGCATCAGTCTGACAAGTTGAGGCGAGCCATCAAGAAGTTGATGGATCAACATGCATGACAGTATCGGATTAAAGTGGGGGACAGTCATACAGCCCGTCCCTAAGTACATACTGAGGCTGACCGGTGCACAACTCCCATCTCGTTCACCCCAGTGAAAAGTCCACTGATGCCCCTGTGTTCAGGCATCAGTTCCACAGTTACCGCCTCCCCTTCCCCTAAATCATCGACAAACGAAACTGTGGTAGTTATAACCATTGTAAGGCAAATACGTGGTTTTTACAGATGATGACCGATATGGGTTTATTTTGCTGTAACAGTGTTGCTGTGGTGTTACAGCCGATGATGGTATTGACAGAAGACTGACTTAAGTTTCGTTTATGTCAGTTCATGAACTGGGAGATTGTAATCCCTGAGTATATCTGTTCGATTCTACGGTGTATGTTCGCTGCCGTACCATGTTACTGTTTGCACCTCACCATGACCAGTGAATGAAGCAAGCCAACTGGTTTTTCTACAGTATTAGCTCACTGAAAATTGGTCAGTGTACACATACAGTGATTTAGACTCATCAGAAATAGAGGCTGTGTGATATGTTCCATTGCTGCTGACCCATCCAAAGCTGAATGGTTCTGAGCCCATTTTGGCGTAGAACACTGTTCATCCCCTTCCATGTCCAACTCAGAGAGGCGGCCAACCCTTGACCTGGCAGAGGGTTATGAAGTAGGGCAGTGCTACTCGCCTTCCAGAATATGGACCGCGTTATTCTTACTGCACCTGGTTGAAGACGCTGAAAGATGTGGGTGCTAACTGATGTCAGTGGCGATCTTGTTGTCAGTTTCTATCCAGATTGCCCGAATGAGTGTTTAGAGGTGTATGCACCCCGTCCACCTTTGTTCTTTTCTTCGAATGGGTTTCATACTTCTCTGTCAAATCAGTGTATGGCCTCCGCTGGCTCGTTTCCACCCTTCACGTGGTTATGCTAGGTCAACTGGCAAACGGAGCACGTGACGAAGCCAGTGCAACTTATGGAGTGTGATCAGTTCATCTATCGTGGGCGGGTTATCTCTCCCGACCACCATGCTAAGTACTTCAGCATTACTGCTCTAGTGTTCCCTCTAGATCCGAAAAATCAAATGTGAAACACTGAGAGTCTCATGACGATCTCGGCTCACAGTGGCCAGGTTTCTAATCATTATAACAACACGGAGCGCGCCGCATCATCGTAAGCTCTGTCCTTGCTGGATGAACTACGCCACCCACGCCACAGGTGATGCAGTTTCACGAAAGCTGCTAGAATTCATGGTCAAAAAGACTTTGGTGCTTATCTTTCGCGCTGAGGTTCCATCCAGCTCGTTTGAAGCTTGTGACAAATCCTTTTACAACGTAGCCAAGACCGTAACTTGCATCAGTCTGACAAGTTGAGGCGAGCCATCAAGAAGTTGATGGATCAACATGCATGACAGTATCGGATTAAAGTGGGGGACAGTCATACAGCCCGTCCCTAAGTACATACTGAGGCTGACCGGTGCACAACTCCCATCTCGTTCACCCCAGTGAAAAGTCCACTGATGCCCCTGTGTTCAGGCATCAGTTCCACAGTTACCGCCTCCCCTTCCCCTAAATCATCGACAAACGAAACTGTGGTAGTTATAACCATTGTAAGGCAAATACGTGGTTTTTACAGATGATGACCGATATGGGTTTATTTTGCTGTAACAGTGTTGCTGTGGTGTTACAGCCGATGATGGTATTGACAGAAGACTGACTTAAGTTTCGTTTATGTCAGTTCATGAACTGGGAGATTGTAATCCCTGAGTATATCTGTTCGATTCTACGGTGTATGTTCGCTGCCGTACCATGTTACTGTTTGCACCTCACCATGACCAGTGAATGAAGCAAGCCAACTGGTTTTTCTACAGTATTAGCTCACTGAAAATTGGTCAGTGTACACATACAGTGATTTAGACTCATCAGAAATAGAGGCTGTGTGATATGTTCCATTGCTGCTGACCCATCCAAAGCTGAATGGTTCTGAGCCCATTTTGGCGTAGAACACTGTTCATCCCCTTCCATGTCCAACTCAGAGAGGCGGCCAACCCTTGACCTGGCAGAGGGTTATGAAGTAGGGCAGTGCTACTCGCCTTCCAGAATATGGACCGCGTTATTCTTACTGCACCTGGTTGAAGACGCTGAAAGATGTGGCTGCTAACTGATGTCAGTGGCGATCTTGTTGTCAGTTTCTATCCAGATTGCCCGAATGAGTGTTTAGAGGTGTATGCACCCCGTCCACCTTTGTTCTTTTCTTCGCAATATGGCTTTCAAATAAATCATGGTTGTACGGCAGTGAAGCATCGGTGTTGAACACTGATGTCGTGCTGTCGATAATGAGGATGATGATGATCAGTTTTTGGAAGGCGTGCTTCAAGCACAAACGATCGGTAACAGACCTAACCGACACGATTCCTTGCTTGTTTTCAAGATCTATGTTCTAAGATCATCCATAAATGAAGTAGAAGTCCATTGGTAGATATAACTCCATTCACTAATACATACATTCGTTGACTTAGATCGGACAGTATTATAATGGAAGACGATACAACTTCAGATGCGGTCAATACTGCTCTTTCAGAATTACGTAACCCCCCCCCGACAGTATTATAATGGAAGACGATACAACTTCAGATGCGGTCAATACTGCTCTTTCAGAATTACGTACCCCCCCCCCCAAGTGCAGACCACACAAGCCTAAAAAATCTTGGATTCAATGAGCTAGAATCGATGTACAACATGGTCTTATCCGTGAGTTTCTTAAGAATAGTTGCGATTGGTGCACTTTGCAACTGAGGACCACCAACACCGATTGAATTCCTATAGTTGACACCTTTGCTGCAAGCAGTCGCCCTATTTATTCTAATTCCAGAGGCACCAAAGCAACCACATCTATTCTCCTTGGTTTTTTCTTTAAAAACCGTACCTTCAACAGTTGTGTAATATTATGTGTGGTCATTATCACAACTGACTTACCATACATTGAGAATCCATGAAAAGGGATGACACCAGATGGAGGGAATATGGAAGATTCCGAATTTTGTTTATCAACAACTTTCGGTGGGGATGCAATCGTAGTTCTGAAATGTTCTCGAACTGTGGCATCCCTTGTGAATGGCAAAAGCACCTAAAAACAGTACAGTTGTTTTGTTTATGCAACAAAATTATACGGAAGAATGGATAGTGGGGCTTTCCTCAGAACAACAGCTGCGGGCATAACTAATACGCCCAAATTCCGGCAATTCTTTTTGACGGTTGGAAGTAGATCTAGTCGAAATCTGAAGTTGTTATGGAACAAACGCAGCGATGTTGACTGCAATTGATACAATGCTTCACTCTAAACAACCGACCCTTTGTCAACACGGAACTGTCTGCCTAAGAAGGCATTCTGGCTAAAATAAGAGCCTCATAGTTTCCATACAGCCCCGTATGAATAGTTCCTATCAAACGTATTGCACAAGGAAGCTCACTTTGACGCCGACTAAACTACTGTTGTTTAAAGCAGTATAAAACTCGCAATCGAGTGCTTCTTAACGCTGCTATGTCATACTCAGGCTGGCCGTCTTTTACCAACAGCTCGACACTTGTCGCAGAGACGAAGATCCTGCTAACTAAGCTATGTTTTCCCTAATGAATATTGGATGATGATGACGATGATAATGTCGTCGATGGTTTGTTGATGATGATGATGCATCGCTTAAGGTTTCTATCATCAGCCCGTGCGCCCCAGCCAAAATGTATAGCCTTCAAAAGTGAGGCGGACAATCATCTACTCATATCAGTATTCATGATGTGGTGGCGGGCGCAAATGGTTGAGTCCCAGGTAGCATCGTCATGAATACCCCTTCGTCTTCTACAAAAACAATTAGGGGATGAGGTTTTTCGATTCACGTGAACATCAGATTGAGATTTTAGCTTCCGATACGTTGCTTGTTCTTAGTCGCTGATACCCGAAGGGTTCTGAACGAATTCCCAGAAATGGAAAGCGAAAAGTGTGGTGTTACTAAATCAATTGTCTCTGGTAGATGTAGCGGGTATTCTGCCAAAAATTTGAAAAAAAAACAGTAAGTTCACCGACCTGAAAACACCAGGCTCTGTCACTGGTGTTTCACTTTTATCTCAGGGAAGTGGTAAAAGTACGCTTTCCCGTTCTTTCGACAGACAGCGCTGTGGGGAAAACGTTCCATAGAAGCCTGAAATGCGGCCCACTGTGTTCCTCAAAAGCAATCCGATATTACACACTGATTTTGCTTTAAATCGTCATCCCCTGCTGCTTTGGTGATAATCGTCACCGCCTTTCGGCCACAGGTGAGATGATAACGAGCCAGGTTCACTCGTCAAGCAACGATCTAATCATCTTTGTGGTAACTGTTAGGAATGAACAGTGCTGTTTTGGATTTTTCGGTCCCAATCCCGCTATTCGCCTGCCTTCCGGCGAGCAAGAGTAACTCTAAACTTGCCCATGTAGACTTTCATTGCCCTCGATTCCACAAATAGCAGCCACAGTGTTGACACTGATGCTGTCGTACAAGCATGTCGCTTACACTCTATAAAATAGAACGACATAAGTACTAAATCACTGAAGGCGTTATCTTCAAAGTATTGATCTCAGACATGTTACGTTAACGTGGTGTTCCGCGGCCCGTGAGCTGGATGTGCGGTCGAACCTTTGGACCTATACGTCCCAGTTACCGATAATGCTTGGCCTCACTAATATGTCCCCTAAGCAGAACAATTAAATCACAAACTGATAGAATAAGACATACCAAGAGAACCAGCCTATCTGGGCGGCCAATCCATCACTTTCGTTCAAATTCATTTTGATTAAGTAATCATTAGATAGACTCGTCTTTCATTCCTGCAGTAAAAGTGAATAAACCAACATATTTGCTGATAAGATTTTTGGATTAACAGGCCTATGTTTAGATGAATTTTATAGAGGGTTGCTCAAATTGTGAGTTATTGCTGCTGTTTAGATCCAGTGATCTGTCAACCTCAGCAACCCTATGAGTAGTATTTCGTCAAGAAAAAAATTTCTTCACTTTCAGAAACTTTTTGTTGGAATTTAGGTGAGTAATTGCAACATACAAGCTTACCTGATAGGTGTAGTCACAAAAGACGAAATGCATTTCATCATTCGATGCGATTAGCTGCACCTCCTAGACGGGACGGAAAAGAACGCGTATGCTTCGCATGAAAAGCACTCTCACTTTACAAATGAGCAGGTCTGTCATACTTTCCTCTTCGGCTATGCGCATCTTCAGATATTCATAATATCTAGCATCCTGCAGTACAGGAAATTGAAAAAAACGAGTGGTCATTAGGGCTGATTAAACTAAAGAAATTCAGTCAATAATAATCAGCGTATCTAGAGAAGAGTCATTTGTTCGGTGTTTAGCACGCAACCGTTATATTCTGGCGTAAACTAAAGAAATTCAGTCAATAATAATCGGCGTATCTAGAGAAGAGTCATTTTATCGGCGTTTAGCACGCAACCGTTAAATTCTGGCGGTTTAAAATACGTCTCCTGCCTTTGTATGCAGTATGCCGGCAGATGCGGCCAACTCCCACGGATAGTATAATCAACGCACGTATGTGTGGGTATCCCTATCGAGCTCAGTCGCGCCTTCACCTCTACTAGACAAACTTATCTGAGCTTGAACCCATTAGTGATCTCCTTTTCGAGCTGTACCACTCTGTCACTCAAGCCGACCGTGCCTCTGAGGATACAACTGCTTATGCCAGCGAACTTTGGCCAGATAGTGTATGACGAAAAATCTGGTAGACGATAGACACAGTTCAAACCAACCTAATATCAGGGTCACGTTCGAACCGATGACTACTCATCCTCTCACAGAATCTATCGCCGCTGACCCAACCCGACCAATGTATCTATAAACTTGATGTAAATTAACTTTAAGCGTGCTGCACAGGTCATGCAGTACGGTAGTCGCCTTCGCAATCCACCAAAGAATACAACTGAACGGAATAATTTAGGATAGGATTCTGCCATATCAGCTGGTACCCTGGTGGACCAACATTAATAGGGATTCCAGATAGAGTTTAATTTTCAATGGGAGTCCTTTCATAGACTTTACCAATAGACTTTACACCAAATGTCCCAAACAGATCGGATGTCAGCTATTCCGAAGGAATTATTGATCTGAAAAAAAACGGACGAATATTCTTCCCGATATCTGTTAGGACCTGTATTCGCAATCCACGGTTCCTTTATCCTACAGAGCATACTTTGTGACTCAGTTGCTCTCTAGCCGGTCAGCCAAGCTCAAAGCATAACTCGTGAGACTCATTTCGCGGTCAAAGTGTTACTCTGGAATTTTCAGATCAGTTGTAAGTCTTCCTTCCTTTTATTTCCTTTTTTGTTGAACGATGTGAATGGTGCATTATTTACCCAAAGAACGCTACGTGGGAAATGTTGCAAAACAAAGGCTGTTTTGCTTTTGGTTTATTTTCCGACTTGTCGTGGCCAACTCAGCGAAAATTAAAACATCTGTTAGCACAACATTGCCTGACGCACCGCACCGCCTCACAACAATGAAGTGCCCAGTACAGGGAACAAACCGACGACCAAGACAGCTTGTATTCGAAAACTTCCGGTCCAGTCTGATAGGTGATTATCTAAGCAATAACTACGCGACAGTAAATTGAGAGCATCACACTAGTACCGAGAAAAACCATAACAAATCTGGCATACTTAAAAGGATTTTGCAAGTGTGAACTAATCAAGTAAGTTGGCCGTTTGAGGTGATAACTCCTAGGAGTTTGCTGAAGCACATGGATACTTTACCCTCTTCGCCTTTGAATGGGACACGATATCTCTTACTTCAAAATCGTGAGTATACTTAGCTAGATAGTGACGCCTCTCAACATGTTTTTGAAGAGCACTTTCAGAAACACTGAGCCAAATGAATATTCCATCAACGTCTCAAGTAATGTGCACCAGTGAGCAGGCACTTAGTGAAAACTTAGAAATGAATATTTAGTAAGTGTCCAAACTTATCCATATTTTGGTCACACCATGGTGTTAACTCCGCCGAGTCAGTTCAAAGGAGATTCGCCCTAAAGAAACCGGAGAGTGCGTAGACCAGATGGTTTGTGGACCGGTCGCCACGTCACTCTGCCATGTGGCACTTAGACATCCGAATCCCGGAGCTGCACGTTTGAATAAAAGCCAACTAATATAGATTCTTCGGGAAATTCATTACAAAGACGGTCAATTTTCTCGCTGCAGTCAATCTCAGTCAAACGGTGATTCAGTAGCTGGACTGTTTTGGTCGTATCCGTCATCGTCTACTTGGTTGAAGATATCTTTATTCCATATCTCCTGCTGTTTCAATCGTTATATCACACAAGTGCTTCATTGTCATCAGGAACGTCCAAATTTAACACACTGATAAGGCAGTGATGAAGTCCGTGGAAAGCACCTTTTTGATAACGCAAAAGTACGCAAGCCGATACAGACATGGATGGCACCAAGAGTGGGTCACAATTGCTGGACTAAAGTTATACCGCGCGATTTTTTCCAATCGGGTGGAGTCTCCGAGTCTGATGCAAGTCACTAATAAAATGCCTCCGATAAAATAGCCCTGTTGTTGGATAGACTAGAGACCACATCACAGTGAAGTTTTCGCAAGGCGGTGATTCCCAGTGAATTAACTTTACAACAAAGCTGCACAAAGACTTGTGGTATTGCCCCTAATTAAAGGGAAGTGTCCATCTGCTCTATTCGCGATGGGTGCCCTCTTCATGGGTAGTAGCCCTAAAGCAGCTGTTCTCTTATTTCATTGGGGTATAGGCCAAAACACAAATGCATCGCCCATCAAAAGGCCCTCGTGAATGGAAAATAGTATGGGTTATGGACAGGCACTGTTTGTTGAGGGCTTCTTTCTTCAATGTTGAATGGCATTTAAGCGCCACTATGCATTGCTGATGTATTTCTGTCAGCGTGTTGGTCCGGGTTCCGAGGAAGGGACAGTCTAATATTAGCCACAACGGAATCTGTTTCTAAGGCAGATCGCAGATATCAAGATTCAGCGTTATCACAATGAAAGCCGCTAAGATGGAATTCACTTAGTGCAGAGTTTTACGGTAACTATAGGAGAAACCGGTGGTCCGAGGAGTCTATACACATAATTTTAGACAAAAACAAGTGTATCTAGGATGTCTTCGAAGCCTTTATGATCGTGAAGGCTATCCAAAATCACCCATGCACTTACAATTCTACATGACAGATCGTAAAGTCAGTTGTTTTTCTGGGTTTTTTCACCATAAACAGCGAAACCGTGGAATATCGTTTCACCTTCGCTGCATTTTGTCTGTAGTGCATGCTCTTGGGTTCAAAACATGTAGCAATGGATCCATTTTATTACGCCTTCAAAGATTCAATCCAGGAAACTAGGAGAACAAGGCAGATGGGTAATCAGGAGGCTTTCCAACTTTATGGACGGAAGGCGAGAGGTCACATAAAAACAGGCATCTACAACGGGCCCGGGTAATCTGAATGACAATCGAGGAGTACTCTTTGAAGGACTCTCACAAAGAGCTATATTTTAACCAGAACAGAATTAAGTATCTCGCCGGATGATAAGTCTAGATTCACAAAATAATGCCTGAAACAATTGTACGCCATAAGGCCATTGCTTACTGTACTCACCTCCTCGGTAACATTTGCGTCCAAGTAAAGAGCCCACATTTGCGCTCGAAAGCCAAGAGGACAACCCTGCTTGAGGTAAGTTTGCGCAGCTTCAGAAGAATTGGTTCGAAGAACTGAGCAGAGATAAAAGGAATATCAATAAGGGCTTCGAATGTGACCAACTATCTTCCGCTTCTTGTTCTCGCGTTTTGGCGAAGGATGTTGAAAACAATTCGTCGATTCCACATTGCGAGTACTCCATGCTCAGAGGATGGTAGAACTTGCTCTATCAGAAATCCTTTTTAATGAAATGTGCAGGAAAATACCAATTCAGTTATATCTTTTACTCTCATTGGTAGGTTGAACAGACCCCAGTAAGGGAAATGCCCATTTGTGTTACTAAGTAAAATGGTAAGTAGCATCGACTCGATCAAATGAGTAAATCTTACTCTTCGTTATAACCTCGCAGTGGTAGATTAGTATTTGGGTGTCTGATGTATATCAATACTTCAAGAAGATCTTTCGGTCCATAAACTGGCTTAATTGCCGAAGTTTCTTGGAGGACAGAGGGTCATGCAGGATCCAGAATACTTACTATTGAACACCAGCGAGAGCTCCGTCCAGTTCTCCAAAATGGCTTCGTTTTGTCTCATATCCCGCTGGAAAAACACGGTAAATTGTTTTAATGTTGTGTATAAACCTTTCCCGCCAAACGGATCCCGAGCTCTTGACACATGGAGTTCAAACTCCTCAACATTTTTCTTTCCCAGTTCCTCTGCAAATCTCCCTGGTGCTCTTTCCCAGACCTACTTGTGCTTTTTGTAGGTAACTCCAGCTTCCGTTTGTAGACGGCTCAGCCATTATCCATTCGAATCGGAGATGAGCTGCCGTCTTTGCCTTGTGTTGAAACATCCAGTTTCTGCATGACTGAAAAGTTGGTTCGTTAGGTAACGTAGAGATGAGAATATTTCCCAGGTTTTCTGGAGCCTCGTTGGTGTTTTGAACGACTCGCTACAAAAACAGAAAGTAAAGAAAAAGCCCCTTAGTGGATACATACGTACAAACAGATCAACCGTAATATCCTTCTATGGAGAATGTGTACAGGACAGAGCATAATTGTGTTTTTGCGCGCGAATTTTTCTTTCAAGAGGATTCCACCCTTCTGGATGCTATGCTACTTATGAGTTTGATGGACGATCGTCCGCGGCCGCTACTGGTAGTGCCTTTTTGAGATGAATTAATTAGAGGTTAATTCCCGACTATCCATAATTTTTCATACTCAAAAATGGACATGCAGATGCGAAAACCTCGATCCTCACCTGCCAACCGATGACGTGGGTATGAGATTCTATCGTGCCTTTCAATAATATCAAGGCCATCCTAAAAAGCATTTAACTACATATAGGCTTCAGCTAGCTCATCGATCAAGGCGTAAAACAGCTAGCCAGCAGTTCATGGTTCAACCTCGATCCTGACCATTCGACTGCTTTTGCCTAGTGTTAGGAGGACTGCCTCCTAACAAACATATTCACATTGTTGACTATAACCTATGTTTCAATGCTCAACATTTCTCTCTCTACTTCAGCCTTTCATTGGACTGCTTTGTTCTATTTTATTCTTGATTCTTTTGAA